AAATCTTTTGCTGAAGCAGAGGGAGTGACGTCGTTTTTCGTAAAAGATTATACTGAGGTACCTCAATTCTGTTGTCTTGGTCTAGTTATACTTTCCCCGGACTTTTTGTCAATCCCTACCATTATTTCTATTCCTTTCCTTGCGTATTTATTCGAGAGCAGTGGGCGTGCAGGACGAACCACAACGTTCGAGCTAAATTTTTTGGTGGCAATAGAGCTACACCTCAGTGTGGTACAGTACCTTTCCTTTAATGATGCAAGAATGGAAGCGTTAGTTTATACCTAGCGCACACACTACCTTTGAAGGCATGTCCGAGATTGCCGAGTAGGCGGAGCAGAAAACGACTTCATCGTCACGCCCCTCTCCTTCATGCCTTTTTCTACCGTTATAGAGGGGCGGAGAGAGGAGCGCACCAAGAGAGTCGCTCCTCTCCGCCCACTCAGCAGTTGTGAACTGTATCTCGAAATTCAAAATTTTCACAAAATACATACTCGGCAAACATAAGTTTGGTCATATCTAGGTCGATAACAATGTCACCCGTCATTTGGATTCAGTACTGAGGGACCGAAACTGGGATGTACTGATACTTCATTATTTGGGGTTAGATCACATAGGTGAGAACACCTTTGTTTTATGGCAGTTCAACTTTTCAGAATCGGTCATTTGTATCTCATTCTAGTAGTCATATAACCACTTTTAAGGGCATTCCCTTGGTGGCAGATCGCCACAAATAAAGGGAAAAACTCAAAGAAATGGACAGGATTGCTCAAAGGATATTCGACATCGTTTCGGTACGTCCTCGACTATGATATGGCGCAACTACGAGCTATGACCGATTTCATAGCTTTTCAAATCCATCTGAATTGATTTTTAATAGGCAGCAGTCCGCCGAAAAAAATAAGGCTATGACCTCTCAAATGTGTCGGACGATCCGGAAGGCGATTTTTGAGGCTGCGCTACTTTCAAAATGTGAAAAACGGCAAGAACTCCGCTAGAAGCTGGCTAATTAGGCCCATGGACACCCCTTAGGCCCATGCCGACCCTCACCGGCTGCTAGCTACTAGAGCTAGTACCACTTATCGTATCTTATCCCTAATTCAACATTTCAAACTACTTGCTAATATTGTTTGTTAACTGCTGTTTAACGCCGCAGTACGCGATTCGAAAGCTATCACAAGAATGCTGAGTTATGGGCAAAAGTCGGACCACGGGCGGGATTCGAACCCGCATCTTCCGCTTTCGCGTGCGATGCTGTTCCCTATTACGCTACCGAGGCCACCTTTGACCACTCAGCTCAATGGCTATTTGTGCCATAACCTTACAGCACTCACACGTTCAACGTGATGAGCCGGTTAGCCGATATCGGCAGTGAACCGCAAGGCTGAAGGCTTTTACAAGTTTTCAAAGCTGATATTGCTTGAAGCTTCAAGCTGATATTGCTGATAACTTGTAAAAAAGCCTTCAGCCTTGCGGTTCACTGCCGATATCGGCTAACCGGCTCATCACGTTGAACGTGTGAGTGCTGTAAGGTTATGGCACAAATAGCCATTGAGCTGAGTGGTCAAAAGTGGCCTCGGTAGCGTAATAGGGAACGCATTCGCACGGAAAGCGGAAGATGCGGGTTCGAATCCCGCCCGTGGTCCGACTTTTGCCCATAACTCAGCATTCTTGTGATATTTCAAACGGCTTTACTTGCTACTTTCTCCGCCTAATCAGATACTATCTTAGCACTTTTTTTGGCCCTAATTTGGCGTTCTTAGTTCCCGCAGTTTGCGGTCGCAAAACTGTTGCTTAAAGAAGAAATGCTGTTTAGGCCCAATCGCCTCTTCTCCTGGTAGCAGTGGGCGATCATGGCATGACCAATGCCGGCTCCCATGGTGGAGGAAGTGAAGCTGAAACGAAAGTTCCAATGGTGTTTTTGCACTCTAAAGTAAGCATCAAGCTGGCTGGAAGTATGGATGGTAGGTTCTGCAGATATGCTTGTTGAAAACGTTTAACGATGAAAAAATTGAGATAGCCTGGTGAAATTGCCCGCGATTTCAGGTCAGCAGAACAAGTTGATTTGGCCAGCACTCTTCCGTTCTTTCTTCGTGTGCCGATTCCGTCGGACAGCATAGGTGTGTCCCTGATTCCACAGCTTGCTTCCCACTGGCAGCTGAACGACTCGAACGTCTTCTCTGCTGCTTTGCAATCAGCTATTCACTACTCCAAATTTGCAGATGGTAGGTTGTTTTTCTTTTGCCTTTCACTGCAAAACTGTAAGTATAAGTTGCGACTTCCCTTTTGCAAGCCTTCGATTCTTTGCCCATAGGCAAGTCCAAGTAGTGTGAGCGAAGTCAGGCCACCACACGCGTGCAAACGGGAGTGCAGAAGGGCAGTTCCTGGCCCCGCCCACATGATCAACATGGACTGTGCTGTAAGCAACCCTATTTCAGATCCCTCTCTGCTTGCCCTCTCCGACGTGGACGGCGAAGAACGTTGTCAAATAGCGAAGACTTTCATAGCGGATGCTAGAGGACCATTGGCAATGGAGGAGAATAGACAAGCTCAGCGAAAGATCATCCAAGCGCAGGAGCAAGCGTTTCGATGGCCAATCTTCGTCTCATTGGTCTTAATCGTTCTAGTGAGTTTTCTTCTGTCCCTCAATCGGCACAGCTTTTAGCCGCAGTCGACTTGACTTTGGAACAGGAATGATCACATTTGCTTGATCCTGTTTCAGAGTTTCATTTCGTTATCCGGTGCTTATCAAATCTACACTTCTGGACGTCACACATCGCGGACCGTGGTAAGCTCTATAGTGAGAGTCCACGCTGATAATGTGGGCGTGGTCAAGCCTAACCTAGTGCTCACTGGTGCACGCTTCCTTCGTGGAACAGCAAAAAGGAGCAGTGCGCTAGTGAGGAAAGGCTGTCTTCCTCCCACACGACCAAGGCCGACTGCGCCTTCCATGTACTACTGATAAGTGAGCTCTGGGCTTACCATTAGTGTGTCCTCACTAGCAATTACTAGCAATTTTCAATGGGGATTTTCAGGTTAATCGATCATTGACAATTTTCTTCCATAGCCCTCAAGAAGTTGTACTATCCCATGATCTTTTGGCCATTACAGGACGTTGCTCCGAATTCGTTATGACTACTCAGCCTGCTCAGCCTCTTCGTTTTTGTCCTCTACCATCTCTCATCCTATTCGACAAGTCTTATTGAGGAGGAACACGATATTTGGTTGGTTTTGGAAGTTGTTTTGTTCTCGGAGAGCCGAGGACTAAGTGACGACGTTTGCCACGCAAACTGCCCGGAGCCCAGATTTCGGAACGAGTCCTGCGTCAAGCAAAGTTTTTCATTCATCCTGGGTAGGGTACATAGTTGCCACAGCGAGAGTATATAATCGCGATGGACAGTTTTTCCAGAAGCTCTCCTCCCCCTCCCCAACTTCCGGTGAGCGATTGGATTGGTGTGGACATATAGCCCTGATCGTGCAAATCCTGGGATGTATCAGTAGTGGGGGGGGGAAGGAGCAGGGTTTGGCCCGGCTCAGCTTCAATTGTAGTCGCTGTCAGCTTCCTGACCCGAACCACCAGCGAACAAGCCGGTATACTCCTGAGATGTGGTAGGCGTGGTTACGTTCTTCATTTGAGCCCAGCCACGCCTACCACATCTCAGGGAAATGTAGCGTACATAATATCGAGTACAGTAAAACATCGACATCACCGGTTCATTGGTCTAGAGTGGGAGAGAGATGGAGGTGTCTGGAGCAAGAGTACCCTTACTAGCCAAAAACGACCTTACTTTCCTCAAAAGGAATGGGTGCCTTGTTTACGTTTGGGAATATGAAAACGTTAAATTGTACGTCAACTTGCACTCCTGATAATCCTTTTTGTTTAAGGTATTACGTTTCTTCAACGTTAATTCTGCACAAAATGGCTACCATAGTAAGAACTCCGGAAAAATCTGGATATTCTTCGGAAACGGTACGTTCTTCTTGTACTTGTGGAGGTTTCACGTTTCGAGCGAAATAGTCGCTGGCTTTCCAAGATGGTACAAAGTAAGGCACTTTCCACGCTAATAATATGGGCGGAGATCGCTGAAGATTTCCTGCTTGCAGCGCTTAAAACTTCGGAGCGGCGTTGCACTACTATGTCTTCACCGTTTGGCAATGAGCTTCACGTCCCATACCAGGAGAAGATGGTCGATGAGACAAGGTGTCTTAACCATGTTCCGGGCCTATACCTACAGAATAATACCGTTTGCTTTTTCAGATGTTCTACCCCCTCCAATACTGCCTGAATTCCGATTCAACGTCCAATTACTCGACGACTTTACGACAGATCTCAACTTATCAGAGCTCGCGAAATGGTATGTCTAGTTGGTATCGCCGCACTCTTGGAGGAGGCGGTGTCAGGACGCGTGGATTGAGCCCACCCGCGGCTGCGTTTTCCACCAATAGTAGTCGGTTTGAGGAGAAAGGAATCAGACGCCGTGGAACTCATTCCACGCTTCT